TTTTCACAAAATTGAAATTAGAGTAATCACGTGTTGATCAATGAAGTTTACGAAATCTTTGGTTCTAAAATAGCAACGCACTGATGTACACCGTACTCTGATGTACACCGTACACTGATGTACACCGTACTCTGATGTACACCGTACACTGATACACTGATATACACCGTACACTGATGTACAACGTACACTGATGTACACCGTACACTGATGTACACCGTACACTGATACACTGATGTACACCGTACACTGATACACTGATGTACACCGTCCACTGATGTACAACGTACACTGATGTACACCGTACACTGCTGTACAACGTACATTGATGTTCAACGTACACTGATGTACACCGTAACACTGATGTACAACGTACACTGATGTACACCGTCCACTGATGTACACCGTACACTGATACACTGATGTACACCGTATACTGATGTACACCGTCCACTGATGTACAACGTCCACTGATGTACACCGTACACTGATGTACAACCTATTCTGACTTGTTATTTACTCTTTAAACATCGAGTTCTGTTTGCTCAAAGATTGGTTAACTTTAACCACTGGTTAGTGAAAAGTAAAATATTTGATAGTAAGAAGTAAAGGCTTTTAAAGTAAAACTAAATCCTCAACACACATCCATCTAATGTTTCTCAACCAATCCATAGCAGTCAAATGACATAAAATGTTCTTAATTTTGTTGTATTCATATTTTCCTAACCACCAGTTAACTCCAACCTTTGAGCAAGCGGGGCTAGGCTTCCCTCGTGTATTTCTTTTTCTTATGCCACAAGGACGTTTCCTTATATGGTGTTCCTTGTCACTCCCTGATGTGTTGGTAGTGAGTTGTACATCGTCCCTAATGGGGTAGCCTGTACCTTTGTCAGGATAAGTATGTGTCACTGATACACAGACACCGCATGCTTTTGTTGGAGTGATTCAATTGACACGGATCTTTGACAGCCATTTGCACAAGTGTTTGTTAGAGCAATATTGCATTACATATTTACCTCACAATCAATGAAATTCACAAAATACAACGCTTATAATGTCCTTTCAGCTCTTTATTCGGTAGTGTAAAGCGACTTAAGAGTAGATACGTCGGGGTCTGGTCGATGCTGCAACCTGTAATTTAGGTGAGTTAGTGCAGCAGTAATACCAGGGTTCCTCACCAGATTGTATTGCTGTACTTTTACAGACATTACTGCTAGTAAAAGTTCACATGGCAATTCAATCTCGAGTCAGCAATACCCTATACGTCAGCAATACCCTTTTACATGTCAAAAAGTTTACCAATACTACTGTTTTCGTAGCTGAGTTACTCTGAACCTCGATCTACTGAAGACATTATCACAGGTTTTCAAATATTAATCGTCATACCTAAATATATATGTTGTCGAAATAAAACTAAAAATAATTGTTTTGGAAGCTATGTAACAAGCCACTTGAATACTCAATGTTTCATTGACTTCCTCTGTCTGATCTGGCTACCGATATTAGTAGTTGTTACGTATCACTTAATACTTGAGAGTATGAGAGTAGGTCTAAAACTCACATTCTCAATGATAATAGAATCACATTTTTCTCAACGATGACATGGTTTCTCTTGTTCATGGATACTGTTCGTTTACAAGTACACCTGACATTCGTTATAAATGGCGAACGCTATAACGTGCAAGGCGTTGCGACTTTAAAACAAAACTACCTGACATTGTGAGTTTAAATGTAATTACAAGACCACATGGACATGAATGTTTTAGTTCGCGCGTCTGGGCTGGATACTCGAGGGTGCCGTAATTTAGTCTTAACCAACTTACATAATGTAATTGGATGATAACAACCGAAGAAATTGGAATACCTTTCTAAACCTGTTGCATATTATTGATTTTAAAACCTAAAGCCTCGAAGGCTTTCAAGTATTATGAAGCAGGCTAGGGCAGAGCGAAGATAAATTAAAAGAGGCACACTCATTTCCTTTATTTGTAAGCTTTCTTATTGACATTGACATGCGTGTGACCAACATATTGTCACATCATTTGTACTTTGGAGCAATATAGTGTTACATATTTGTAAGTGACAAATACATTGTGGCATTGTAAGCGTGATAAATACATTGTAACATTTGTAAGTGTAGCCAATACATTATTACATTTGTAAGTGACAAATACATTTGTAAGTGTAGCCATTACATTGTTACATTTGTAAGTGTAGCCAATACATTGTTACATTTGTAAGTGTAGTCAATACATTGTTACATTTGTAAGTGTAGCCAATACATTGTAACATTTGTAAGTGTAGCCAATACATTGTTACATTTGTAAGTGTAGCCAATACATTTTTACATTTGTAAGTGTAGCCAATACATTGTTACATTTGTAAGTGTAGTCAATACATTGTTACATTTGTAAGTGTAGCCAATACATTGCAACATTTGTAAGTGTTGTCAATACGTTATTACATTTGTAAGTGTAGCCAATACATTATTACATTTGTAAGTGTAGTCAATACATTGTAAAGGACTTGACATTGGCAAAATAGGCGACAACAGCACGTGGTGTAGAGAGCAATGAGACTGGGTAATTGAAGTGTCCTCAGTGTTACATTAACAGATATCAATATAAACGATGCTTTGTCAGAGAATGAAAAAAGGAACAAGACACTGAGTATTACTATATTAAGGATTACCAGGTATATAATAAACATATAAGGATATGTAGAACAGTTTATGTCGCAAACGTTTTGCAATATTTGGAATGGAATATGCCAAAAACATAAGCAGTGTTTAGACATTTTGTCTTCTATCATGTTTTTCTTTCTTTCTTTTCCCCGTCCGACACGAGCAGTTGATGACCGTTTGCCCTGTATGACCGTATTGTGGTAATATGTGCCAATCTCTTAATCAATTAGTAAATCAATGTCTTTTCCAGAAAAAATTACAAAAGGTTTAAACCTCAAATAACGTTATAACATATTTAACGGACATGCGAACAAAAATAACATAAAGTAAATGTTTCAATCTGCTTCCTTGATAAACCTCGTATCAGTGTAGGTGTCCCGAACACGGTCTTAATGTCACTTAGAAGCGTGTATATTATATCACGTTCGATTCTATTCTTGTATGAATGAAACAATATGATGCCTCGTATTTTCCTGAAATGGTGTCGGATAATACTGACCGAAAGAATTACTCGTCAGCGCATATCGCAAACGAGATAATTCATGGAAGAACATGAGACAGATGTGAAGAAAATAAAAACAACTGGTGCTATCAAATGCGTTTCTTGAAAATGTTAAACTACATTAGCATTAGTGACACACCCAAGCATGCTAAACCTGACATAAATAACTGGTTCACTAGAAAAGGAAATCTCATTTCATAAAATGATATTTTCCTATTTACGCATTTTGTTATTTCATTACCTATTTCTCTATCAGATGACGTATTCAGTCTTTGTGCTGTACTAAGTTGAACTCCTATTTGACATTAGAAAATAAGGAAGCCAATGCGACATCAATCATACATTATAACGCTGATATTCTGACAATAAAAAGAACAATAGTGAAAATATATATCAATAATAACATATCATAATCGTATGGATATAGAGACATGGTAATGTAAACGCACAACACGATCTGTCCATTGGGACATGGTGATGTCAGGACATATACAATTTTGACATAATAACACTCATGTCCTCCGCTTTCTATGGCCGTGCAATTTTCATGCACAACTAAAAATGTACCACCGATTCTTGTCTTACTTGTCCAATTTCTATCAATCAAAACCTGTCATTCGCACCCATAGCCTTTTTCTATCCCTTCTAATCTCTAACATGTACATCTTGTATTTTAAACCAGTTTTCAATCCCTCCCCATCCTTCACTCGTGTCTCTCAGAATTTGTGCTCTATTTTCTGAAGCCAACTTGATTCCTTGTTTACTCGTGTTTCGAGCCCGTACAGTGGTTTTCTTGTGAGTGAAATGAGGCGCTCTATCAATCAGTTATTATAAAAATTATCACCATCAAGCATTCAATTCGTTTTGAATGGGGGTGTTTTTTCTTTGACAAATTACCTGCTATTCTGCTACTCTATCTGTGTACAGCATTGACTTCCTGTGCAGTGGTATAAACAGTGGGCCGGATATTAGCTTGACGAGGCTCTGACATGCGCTTCGGTAATACAGTTTGATGGAGGTTTTATAATGGTCTTGAGATAGTCACCTAATCAAAGACTTTTTTTAATTGCATCTAATTTCTTAGGAAGAGCTGCCTCATAAAATATCCATCGTGATCACAATATAGGATCGACTGTTATGATAACTAGGGTGTTTGTGAATGTGCCTTACCTTATTATTTAAGTAAGCGAACTGGTACATCATATAGACATGTATTTTTAATTCGAAATTTAAAAACAAATTAAAATGATGAGACATCAGGCACAGTCTATAATAGTCTTTTCCTAAAGATCTGTACGAGGCCAGTCCACTTCAGGGCGATTTGAAACTGTTCGTGAATTGAAAGAGTGTGTTTGTATATATGCTAAAAATAAAAAATAAACATACCACAACTCTAACATAGAAGGATTAAATACAATTTCCAAATCGATTCAAAAGACAGAACGGGAAACTGAGGAGAAACCAGTACAAACACAAAGGCATCAAAACCAGCACAGAACTTCGGAGGCGACATCAAGTGAACCGTACTATAAAGGGTTCCTGCACCACATGTGGTTCTCGTCATGTTCTCTTCCGTTCAGAATCAAAATCTAATACATTATGAGTAGTTCAAAGATAAAAACAAAAAACGTCATAATGGATAACAACATACGGGTGTCTGAGGAAGGTTGGTAAAATCCCCTTCTCTGACTGTATAACGTCCTATTTGTACTGTCTTGGGTATGAGAACATCAAACACCATTCCTTTGAAAATTTATTCAAATATTTTATTGATTAAGTCACTGTATCTAGTCAGGTCATGTTTCTTCTGTTCCGTTATCTAGTCACCTTATGTAACCACTTGTTCCTGTAACTAGTCAGCTTACGATTCCTCTTGTTCCTGTATCTAGTCATCTTATGATTCCTCTTGTTCCTGTATCTAGTCACCTTACGATTCCTCTTGTTCCTGTATCTAGTCACCTCACGATTCCTCTTGTTCCTGTATCTAGTCACCTTACGATTCCTCTTGTTCCTGTATCTAGTCACCTTACGATTCCTCTTGTTCCTGTATCTAGTCACCTTACGATTCCTCTTGTTCCTGTATCTAGTCACCTTACGATTCCTCTTGTTCCTGTATCTAGTCACCTTACGATTCCTCTTGTTCCTGTATCTAGTCACCTTACGATTCCTCTTGTTCCTGTATCTAGTCACCTTACGATTCCTCTTGTTCCTGTATCTAGTCACCTTACGATTCCTCTTGTTCCTGTATCTAGTCACCTTACGATTCCTCTTGTTCCTGTATCTAGTCACCTTACGATTCCTCTTGTTCCTGTATCTAGTCACCTTACGATTCCTCTTGTTCCTGTATCTAGTCACCTCACGATTCCTCTTGTTCCTGTATCTAGTCACCTTACGATTCCTCTTGTTCCTGTATCTAGTCACCTTACGATTCCTCTTGTTCCTGTATCTAGTCACCTTACGATTCCTCTTGTTCCTGTATCTAGTCACCTTACGATTCCTCTTGTTCCTGTATCTAGTCACCTTACGATTCCTCTTGTTCCTGTATCTAGTCACCTTACGATTCCTCTTGTTCCTGTATCTAGTCACCTTACGATTCCTCTTGTTCCTGTATCTAGTCACCTTACGATTCCTCTTGTTCCTGTATCTAGTCACCTTACGATTCCTCTTGTTCCTGTATCTAGTCACCTTACGATTCCTCTTGTTCCTGTATCTAGTCACCTTACGATTCCTCTTGTTCCTGTATCTAGTCACCTTACGATTCCTCTTGTTCCTGTATCTAGTCACCTTACGATTCCTCTTGTTCCTGTATCTAGTCACCTTACGATTCCTCTTGTTCCTGTATCTAGTCACCTTACGATTCCTCTTGTTCCTGTATCTAGTCACCTTACGATTCCTCTTGTTCCTGTATCTAGTCATCTTATGATTCCTCTTGTTCCTGTATCTAGTCACCTTACGATTCCTCTTGTTCCTGTATCTAGTCATCTTACAATTCCTCTTGTTCCTGTATCTAGTCATCTTATGATTCCTTTTGTTCCTGTATCTGGTCATCTTACGATTCCTCTTGTTCCTGTATCTAGTCATCTTACGATTTCTGTTGTTCCTGTATCTAGTCACCTCACGATTCCTCTTGTTCCTGTATCAAGTCATCTTATGATTCCTCTTGTTCCTGTATATAGTCAACTTACGATTCCTCTTGTTCCTGTATCTAGTCATCTTACGATTCCTCTTGTTCCTGTATCTAGTCACCTCACGATTTCTCTTGTTCCTGTATCTAGTCACCTCACGATTTCTCTTGTTCCTGTATCTAGTCACCTCAGGATTCCTCTTGTTCCTGTATCTAGTCATCTTACGATTTCTGTTGTTCCTGTATCTAGTCACCTCACGATTCCTCTTGTTCCTCTATCTAGACACCTTACGATTCCTCTTGTTCCTGTATCTAGTCCCATTACGATTCCTCTTGTTCCTGTATCTAGTCATCTTACAATTCCTCTTGTTCCTGTATCTAGTCATCTTATGATTCCTCTTGCTCCTGTATCTAGTCATCTTACGATTCCTTTTGTTCCTGTATCTAGTCATCTTACGATTTCTGTTGTTCCTGTATCTAGTCACCTCACGATTCCTCTTGTTCCTGCATATAGTCATCTTACGATTTCTCTTGTTCCTGTATCTAGTCACCTTACGATCCCTCTTGTTCCTGTATCTAGTCATCTTATGATTCCTCTTGTTCCTGTATCTAGCCACCTTACGATTCCTCTTGTTCCTGTATCTGGTCATCTTACGATTCCTCTTGTTCCTGTATCTAGTCATCTTACAATTCCTCTTGTTCCTGTATCTAGTCATCTTATGATTCCTCTTGTTCCTGTATCTAGTCACCTTATGATTCCTCTTCTACTTGCATATTTTCTCTTGTTGACCTAGTACCGAGACACCTCATCACATACATGAGTCTGTCCGCTCTGTGTGGTCCTAATGACGAGGACTTGACCCCTCTACTCTTTTTTCAATCTGATTGCCTGTGACAGCAGTAGTCTATTTTAATTATCAATGATGAGAACATTCGGTTCGAGACACTATCAAGATTGCCTTCCAATTAACCCGTACCCTTTACATAATTAAACATTCTGGACTAGAAAATTACCCCCACAGAGAAAGCCTGTCTACTTTCAGCCTATCTTCTCAAATGTCAACGAGATATTGTAATCATTTATCATCTTTCAACAACAGGCAGGGAACATGTTACGGCAGCCAAGTTATTATTGGGTTGCTATTTCACTGTATATCTGTGAAGCATTATCAAATCTATCCCCACATAATCATCAAAATCATGTCAAGACATAGCGACCTATTACATGATTAGACGTCATAAAACCATGAGATAGGTAGATATACAGGTAGTTTGAAAGGAAAAGTCATTAATTTGTTGCCTGATTTATGTATCTGTTGGTGTCTATTGATCTGAATGCCTATGTGTTACTCCGTGGCAGAGATATCAGACCTAAGAGATGTGTTCAACCCGTACCATTAAAGGTGCACTATTTCACAAACCTTTACAACTGTGGATCCTAGATACCTGGAAACTTATCATCGTGTTTATAGATTACCCCAATCGAAATAGCAAATAGACATGTCAAAGTGCAGCTGCTCATTGATTACCCCGACCTGTATAGCAGGTAATCGTATGAGTCTCAATATCGTTACCAAATCAATGTGATTTTAGTGAGCCAGTTTTGGCACGTATCTCACCTACCTACACATAGATGCCACCCTAGCTTTATAATAATGCAATTCACATCCGCCATGTGTTTCCTTTAGAAATATCTTAAGTTAGCCATTGTCTAAATATAAAAAAGTTGTTAAAATACTTTCATTTTCAAGGATGAGAAATATTTGGGTACTTAGTCATGATTAAGTTGTGGTGGGTCGCAAAAAGTCACACCAAAATTAACACAGATTTTGATGGAACGACATGAAAATGCGAGGAAAATATGGCAGTAACGAGTTGTGCAAAATATTTGAACGTTAACAAAGCACGATAATTCTTAAGTGTGATCAAAACCCCTAATCCTATATTAAAACATTAAACAAAAGGAAAATATGGAGAGCTGAAGTAATGCCATGGATATCACTGAACATTTATAAGGATAATAAGACTATAAGGTTATGATGGTGATCATGATACTTGTCTAAAAGTCCTCACCAATCTGCATTTCTGGAAACCCTTTGTGTATGTTTGTTTGTTAGCATTTGATATTTACCATGGAAGTCATGATATTTGGAGTTAGCCTTCCCAATCAACTGCGATATCATTTTATTGTATGTAGGAAAAGCAGGGATGTTACTATCAAGAAAGGGAAGTTCACGATAGGACAATTTAAATCATCACACGTATAAAAGAACATAGACGTAACTCGTTACTGTTGGATATAGTGTAAGCGGCTGGTGTAGAAAAGTCTATAGTGTCATCTGTCCCAAGTTCAGAAGGGTATATACGATCGATATGGTCATTCAAGTTTTTGTTATTTAAAGACAGTACCTCTTAAAAATATCTCAAAGTGAAATCGAAGGTTTTTGTTATAAGGCATTATAAGGTCTCTAGTAAATTCGACTTCACGTGAAACGAAAACAAGTTGGCCAGGAGAAGAATATAGCCTGTTTCCATTGGAATGCCAACAGACAGCTGGAAAATCTTACCACCAAACTAAACACAGATATTGCCAACCAGGAACCTGATAAATCACACAATTTTCCTCCTCTGAATTTTTCATCTTTGCCTTGTTGTTTTTTTAACAAAAAATATTCCGAGGAATAGTTCACAAAGATATATGTACGTATATACGTTTGCCTTTTGAGAAAGTGCTCAAATAGTAGATCAAAGTTTCTTATATCTTATATCACCAAGAATATTCCCGGGAAAATGTCATGACTGTCACTCTCGTATTTTGAGTAAAGGATTGGCAGACAAACTGGTAATCACTCGGAAATCAGAACACTAGGTGCTCATTCAGATATAAAAACATGAATGTCGATCGCGTAGCTGTATTGCTTGTTAGACCAAGGACGGTGTCGATACCGCTGTTAGAATCCGGTTACATTATCTACGATTCTACTCTAAACGTCATGTAAATTCTTGTCCTTGACACAAAACAAACAAATTGTGAAACTCGCCTGATCAGTTGACAGTGTCGATAAAAAAAACCACGAAAATATAGATTACTATAGCGACGATCATCAAACGCCCGGATGTGACAAATATGTCGTTGAAGAGCACAGGAAGCGTAGAACCAGATCTTGATATTGAAGACATGTGGATTAAAACTGATCGCTAGTATTCATAAAATAGATGATAGATCTTCGCGAAAAAGATGTAAAAATGTTGGAAGATGATGGATAGTTGATATTGTATATTTAAAAGGCGTCATTATAATGCCGTTATCCATCACTGGGACTGCAAATGCTATTATTTTAGAAAATATCAGGATCACTTCAAATAAACAACCGAAGCAGCACTTTTAAATTAAGTTAATAAACCAAGAAATAAATAATAACAGACAAACTCAGAACAAAAAAAAAAGGCAAAATCAACAACAGCAACCGAGGAGACTTCAAAACTATGGAACGAAGTCATGAACACCCACGAAAGGAGAACGAATTGGAAATCAGCTGCTCCGCGAAAAAATGTCACATCATTCAAGTAAGTATTTGCGAATACTAATTAGATAGAAGTGCATATTGACAAAAAATGTCAACTGAGAAGACAATTCTTGTATATATATTTACATTTGTATGGTATTGTCACTATATAGCCTCTTTGAAAGCTGTGTCGTTGATGGGACTTTAATTACCATGCATCACGAGACACAATTCTTAGCGTATCAATACATCACTGACCGGAACTACAATATCCAATATAAATAAACATGACGGCTGCTGAAATATCGCTCGGCATTGTGAGATTTGACAATGTCATTGTACATTTATGTGCAAAATAAAAAATAAATTGAAAAACACTTTTATTACAACGAAAACAAGACCAAGGTCTGCAATATCGTACAAAATTCACATCGGTTGAAATCACCAATGCCGGCAATGGAAACAATTTTAACGCTCATGCAATTTATCAGAAACATCGTCTGTTACACTGCACTGATCAACATGGGTTCGTTACAAATGTCTGAAATACACATATTCTATAGACCTACTGACACATATGTTACAGACCTACTGATATGAGTCACAGCACACATAAACATTTCAGACATTTGTAGCATCCACGGTTCCTCAGTTTCTGACGACAAGTCAAATAACGAGGCTGTTATAGAATCTACCGACTGTTGTCAGGTTCCCATACAATCAACAAATACATTCACGCCTGGATTCTTCACAAAATGAGCAAAGAGAAAAGTTCGAATTAATTTCCAAAAATAACTCCCTCGTGGAGGGCAAGGTCGGTTTTACGGTGTTCACTGTATTTGTCCATGCACGAAATTTGTTCCGGGGAAAAATCGAAACTATTTCAAATCAAACTTTCAGTTCAGAGTTCTATTGATAAACTTAAATCATCCTATAGACATATCATACGCAATTGTATGATACTGAATTGTTGAATAAAATTGTAGTGTTTGTTAAAATTTCAAAGTACTACTTTGTTTGCCAATCAGCACGCGACTTTACGCTGTTCAAACTATTGAACGAAATTGTGTGGACTGTCGATAAGGCGGGCATTTTGTAATTTTAAATATAAATAACAAGTTAAAAAAGAACATAAGAGGCAGAGAAGACGTAAATATAAATGTTGAAATATGACACAGCTTTGCAAGGAAACAAATCTTATCCCATTTATAATATAGTTATACAAACAAATTACATGTTAATTTGTTATTTAATGTAAACATACTATCACATGTAAACAATCTAGGTGGCTTAGAACTGTAAACTTTCGTATGTAAAATGCTTTGATTAAAGGGTTTCTCGGTGGCGCAGAGTTGTCAACATTCGTCAACAATTGTTTCATTTAAGGAGTCAGGAAGATTAGTCGGAGAAATCTCTCTGTGACTCAAAACCCCTTCTAGATAAACCGTTTATTTTGAGGAGTGTGTTGACGACCAAGTGTTGTGTTACAACTCGTACATCTGACATCGCTCTTAGACAGACAGAGGACCATTATCTTGACATGTCCTTGACATTTTCAAGGACATTTCTAAACAAGACTTTTTATTTCTAATTATCACACTTCTATGTCAATGTCAATTCTAACTCCATTACTGATAATTACTGTTTATCTTTTCTAGGTTTTAAATCCATCACCTGATCCAAATTCGCGTCTTTCACACTAGGTTTATGTATACTACATTTGATGCTGTTTCACATTAGAGTCTTTTTTTTCTCTGCTAATTTAAAATAGTTTCCACAAAGAAATGTCATATCGTTATACAGAACTATGTCAGTTTTATGTTTCATTATTGTCTATTTGCTTTGTGATAAATTATGGAGAGGTTAGACAATTCCGTCTTTGCGTATTGCAGAGTTATCTGCTCTTGGGAGCAGGGATTGATTGTTACGTCATTGGGTTTTGCGAAAAAAAAAAGTCGTTTTCTCAAAAATTGATGACGTTACTCTCACAAACAAGTGACGCAACAATCAATACCTGCTCCCAAGAGAAGATAACCCTGCAATACGCAAAGACGGAATAGTATCCACTGTCAGTCAAAGCAATTAAATATAACCGATATCATGAACTTTGATAACGTAGACACTGTAGAAGGTTATTTTTATATCCGTTTGGGATACGTCATTGCTGAATAGAAATTGTTCACAATTAGCTACCATTAGAATATTCACAA